ATTTATTTCAGCAGGTGTTTGAACTGAATCTTGATTTTATAGTTTTAACTGATTTTTATTTTTATCATATTGTTCAGCTTCTTGTACACTGCTTAGAGACAATTCTAATTAAGCATTATACAAATTGTCCAAATAAATAGATAATAAAATGCAAACCATGTTTATAGCACAGGATTAATTGAGACCACAAGCCTATGGTCACTGAAAGTCTGTCCCAGGGATCATAGGATCTGCTAGATCTTCCGGGTCGTAGGCAGAGAGTCTGCCTTCAGAGAATGGGGGCCAGACTCAGATGCCTCATCCATGAAGCTGTGGATATTGGAGATGGCATTCCAGAGCCGTGTCGGGAGAGGCTCTGGATGCCCAGAACGGGTGGCTGATTGTGCCAGTCCTGGATGATTGGTATCAATAGAAAACTGTTCTCCATTCCCCTAAATTAAAACAATCTGGAACTAAAGCTAAAAAATAAAAACATCTTACACCCTTTTTTTTGCCCTACTAGCATGAGCCTAGCAGTGCAAAAGAAAGAGCACATTGGCCTTTGGTTCTCCTTCCCCAACTCTTTTGGTGTACTTATTAGAAACATATTGTACTGGAATGATATTTGACATTTTCAGCTTATTGGAAGAACTCCATTTAAATTTTGAAAAGAACAAATTCCTTCAATTATAATTTGAATTGTAAGTATCAGCATATATTTAACAGAATTAGCAATCTCACAGGAGACCTGGGAGTTGTAAATAGGCAATTAGGGGAAAGTCAATGTCCATGCATATCTGGGTCAGAACTATGGCTTCCAGTAGGGACTGAGTATCTCTGAAACAGAAACATGAGGTCCTGCTTCCAAATAGGTTCTGAACCAGTATAAATGTCACACTCTACAAAAAGGATGTCTGACCCTCTCTGCCTTGGAATGTGTGGGGGCTTCTGCTGCGCCAGGGCAGAGGGAAAAAAAACCAGGACAGAGCAACAATACTTTATTGCTACATATTCGGTATGGAAGATGAAACTGCACATCAGAGCGGTGCAGTCTGCAAACTGCAGGAGCTCATGAGGTCCTAAAAGCATTACACTGAAACACAGAGCCCCCTGGCAGGCATAAAAGTGGGGGTTTTTTAATGCCCCACACTTGAAGAAGAAAAATATTAGTGTATTGTTCAAACACAGGTTCTGAAGCAGGATGCATTCACAAGCTGTCCATAACTATTTCCAGCAATCAGGAACTTCCCCTGGTATGCAGTTCACACAGAAGGGTATGCATTAGATTTTGTTGACTAAACAATCAGTTGTCTATATTTCATAAAATATCACCTCCAAAATGACTTTTTTTGGGGGGGATCATTACTTTCTGCATTTTTCAGGTGCCATTGAGGGGCTACATGTACTTCTCAATTTTACCACTGGACTTAACACTCTGTGACCTCACAATCATATGCTTTGAAATCCACTGGAAAGGGGATCAAATTGGAGTGTAAAAAGGGACAGGGAAAGGGTTAAGCACTCTTGCCTTGCCCTGCATATTTTCCACTTTAAAGTTCCTTCTAAAACTGCTTTGCTTAAAAAAAAAAAAGCAGAGCAGCACTGTTACATGTTTTTGTGTGTAATGTGTAGTTTGTCTCTCAGACTTTGCTTTACCGCTAACAATCAAATTCCAGATTGACTAAAGTGAATGAGGAGGAGTTAAAGTTTTGATTCCCTTTAATAGCAGAGATGGAAGATGGAGAACTCAATATTTACATTTCACATTCTCAGACATCAGTTAAATTGAATCAGAAGAATTGGATCAGTCTTTCCTTGGGAAATGGGACTAGATAAAAAATAATGAAAGGTTTGAATGACCATGTTGATTTTGTCTGATCTTTTCCCATTATATTTTGCTAGTAACACTCAGGGGATATTTTTCTCAGCTCAAATTAAATCTTCGCTGTCTTTTCAAATGGACCAGTATTACTTTACTGATTAGCTTCACTATTTGTGTGTGGGTTTTTAAAAAATGTCTCCTGAGTGATTATCTTAGTAGGGCCAAATGTAGGTCAAATCTGTACCGCTAGATCTTGTAACATTTAACTCCTGGTATAACACAATTAGTCTTGAGGGCATTCGTTTAAGGCCCAGTGCATTAATAAACAGAAATTACCGTAGCTGTGGTAACCATAGTAACAAAGTAGTGATTAATGATAGATAACCTGCCATAGAAACAAGTATTTAAAATTACTCCATTTACATCATTTTATCTTTTCTAAAGTCAAGAACAGAGCTTCAAAAATAAATGTGCCTGTAAATGGCTTAGTATAACTAACAGAATGAGACAGAAGAGATGTTGCAGCTTTCATTAAATCCTCGAATTCTGCGGCAACAGTTCCCCAAGAGCCAGATTTTTTGAATTTCTTATGGTTCCAGGTTGTTAAGAAGGATCCAGAATCCTTGGCAGCATCCTCTCTTTTTGCAGCCATTCTCGCAGATCCCAATGACGACGGGAAAAGTTACTTTATTAAAAATGCACTGCAGCAGTGCTGACCTGGTTCTGCCTGTTATGCCCTTAGACATTGTCCAGAGCAACAGTTGTTGTCAGCCACTGTAGAAATGTTTGTTATCTAAATTTACATTTAAGCTCATTGTTGAAAGTTTACTGTCTACCTCTGAGAATCATGTTTTATTCCTTCCTACTAAAATTTTGCTAAAATAGGTTCTGAAATTTTTCTAGAAGTCTATGTGTAATCAATTTGTGAGCACAGGTAAGTATTTTTTTCCCCATCAATTTGTTTATGTAGCTTTATTAAACCTCTGATAGAGTCCATGGAATTGATTGCATATTTTAGATTTTTTGAAGCCATCAACATGTGCTCAATTCTGAGAAAGAAAAATGTCAGTGCACATCCTGGAATATAAATCATGTGCAATACAACCTCCATTCCAATTTTTTCGCATACTGTTTTTAACATTGAATTCATATACTCCTTTTCCCAATGCACACAAGAGTGCAAACTCTGTCCCCTTGAAACACCCCTCACATTTGCTAAACAACACTTCACCATGACTGCTAATATTATCCCTCTGATGATTGCATTCTTCTTTCCACAGATTTTCCCTGGTGTTGCAAAGTCTTCAATCTCAAAGGACAGGTGTTTATTAAAATCTGAGATGTGGAGCCAGTTCAGAATCCTAGAATTCAGAACAGAGGCAACTGCAGTGTGCAGAATATTTCTCCTGAAAAATGAATTTGTGTTGGCCTCTGAATTTGTTTGTCCTGTACAAGGAAGCAAGCAAAACCTCCTATACAAACCTTTCTTAGAGGACAGTTGTTGCTTCCATCTCATCATAATCCCTGTCTCTTTTGTTTTGAAAAAAACTGCTTTTTCACAGGAGGTGCATCCTGGTCTTCTGATCAGCTGAACTATCCATCATCCTATACCTCAGTGTGTAGGGGGTGGGTGGGGATGGGTCCTTTGCATTGGATGGTTCAGCTGGGGATCAGTTGACTGATCTGTTGACTGATCTGAAACTGGCAGATCTTACAGCATGGGTTGGCAAACTAAGGTGGGCGGGCCGGATCAGGCCCAATCGCCTTCTGGATCCAGCCTATGGATGGTCTGGGAATCACCGCGTGGATCACCAGTGTGCATGTTCTTTCCCTCTCCCTTACACAGCAGCGCCAGTGGCGCCTCTTCCCTCCCTCCTCCTGGCTTCCCCCCGCCCTGCCTAGAGGAGGAAGGGGACTGGGCTTTGTTGGTGCCAGCAGCAGCAACACTCAAGCAGCTGCCATTTTAAGCAGCCCCTCTCCGCTCATTGTCCCTCCACCACCACCACCAGCCCCTGCCACTCACAAGGCACAGGTAAGCAGCCACCGGGGCTCGTGGTGCTCTTGCATCATTCCCCCCCAAAAAATAGTCTGGCCCCCCACAAGGTCTGAGGGACAGTGGACCAGCTCCCTGCTGGAAAAGTTTGCTGACTCCTGTCTTACAGGGTAAAAGCCATGAAAAATGGGTGTTTCGGGGATTGGCAAGAGATGGACTGGGCCAGAGGCTCTTATACTGGATCCTAACTCTGTTCAGCTCGGTCATGCGCTCAGCTGAATGGAGTTTAAATCTGGTGTGCTTTATGCTGGTTCAAATTCAACCAGCCTAAATTATGCAGGCTTTCCATATTTAGGATTGCTGCTGCCTTCAGATGTCTTTTCAAAGTTGTGTAGTTCTTTATCTCCTTGACATCTCAAGGGAGGGCGTTCCACAGGGAGGATGCCACTACTGAGAAGGCCCTCTGCCTGGTTTCCTGTAACTTCACTTCTTGCAGTGAGAGAACCAGCAGAAAACCCTTGGAGGAGGACCTCAAATAAGCAACAACATTTATTTGTTGGTATTTATTTATTTGGTATTTATTTATTTTGCAAGATCATCTTTATTAGTTTTACAAATTTCATACTACACATACATTTTATATTACATTGTACATTTGTTATTGCTCCTAAGAGCTGACTTCCCTCCTTCGTTCTTCTGATTTCTTTATATCGCCTCTAAATTTTTCGCATTGTCTTTATCCATTTTATTTATTGTTATTCTGCTTCCACATTTGTCCATAAAATGTCTGTAGATGACTAAATCCTTCTATATATACAGTTCTCATTGTCTATCTATATATCATTTGCAACTACTATTGGTTACTTTGATCACATTGTACATTTTACTTCTTATTGTTGTTATTTTTCCAATAAAGTTATTGGTATTGCACATTATGAGGTTTGTTTCAATTCTACTGGTTTCTCTATTTCACACATATCTTTCCTATGTACAGCATAAATTTCTTCCATTCTTTTTGAAATGTTTCATCGCCCTTTTGTCGGATTTTCCCTGCTAATTTAGCTATTTCTGCATATTCCATTACCTTCTGTTACCAATCTTCCACTGTTGGCAATTGCTGTTGTTTCCAGACCCGAGCTAACAATAGCCTCGCTGCTGTTGTTGCATATAGGAACAATTTCTGATCACTCTTAGCCGTATCCTCTCCTCCATTACACAATCCATTTAAATACCACTTTCTCAATATCCTCTTAGCAATATTGAAAAAGTGGTATTTAAATTGATTGTGTAATGGAGGAGTTTCGGAGCTGTGCACATGCACACACGCACACACCAAAGTTGATATTATTATCTTTTTATGAAGGAGAGAATAAAAATATCAAAAAATTGTTAAACTACTGATTGCCCAGAAATGGAAAACTTCTGAAATTAACAGCTTATTATGGTGGAGTAATATATTGAAAATTGCATTACATGAAAACCTTTACTGGGTTTTGTTTTTTTAAGGAATGACAAAGGTAACTTCTTTTGCCTCAGTTTGGTGGGATTTTATTGAGTACATAAAAAGAAAAAATTACAGTTGGTTCTTCCACAAGTCATGTGGGCTAAGTAACATCTAACTGGTTGAAAACAATTATTAACATAATATAGAGCCATTTGTTTTTGGTACTCTTTGTGCATCTAGTGTCCAAACATAGGCAAAAATCACCCCCCCCCCCCTTGGGAACCATCATGTGAAGATGGGCAACAATATATCGAGAGGAATTCAAATTGCACACTTTAGAACTATCACACCAGATTGGGGAAAGTTCCATGAAATGGAGTGGTGATATCTTCAGCAGTGTCCAAATTGACCCACTTTGGACTTAGCACACCAAAACCTGGGTGAAGTCACACGAAAGATATGCATGTATGCATCAAGTGTGTAAAACCTAAAAATTTTGTCTTGGCACTTTACCTGGTGGCATTGGAGGCTACTGTTGGTAGCAATGGAAATATAAAATCTGCTTCGATGTGAAGAAATGGTTGCATGCTTCTTTGGACCCTGGCCATTGGCAGCATCTGAAATTACGGCTACCATGGACTTTCTAGGATGTGATCACTGCCATTGTGTTAAGCATTGTTGTTCAAAAACAGAAGGGAAAAAAGAAGGCTAAGAATAATAGCATTAAAAAATACTTAGAAGATTTGACCTTGAACACTTAACCTGATAGTAATACACTTTAAGCTACCTGAACACATTCTATGATTATTGTCATTTACATATATCTTTCTTATAGAATATGAAGGTAGTTTATCTAATCAGGGCTGGAGAGAATTACAGGAAAGATGACAGCTGATTCTGCCAGCTCTCCAAATGTCTTTAGTGTGTGTGTGTGTTTTCTAAAGTAACTTGAAGTTCAGGCCTGAAGAATGAGAGGAATTTAAAACAGAAATATTTCCATCTTGAATTAACAGTATTTACTATGTACATTCCTTTTCCAAATTGAACTGTCTGTGGAGCATATCTATTTATCTCCTTTGCATATTTGAATATACTTGTGCATAAAATAGATATACACTGGCAATAAAGAAGTCTTTCTTTTTCAGAAGCAATGTAATCCACCAAGTTAATTGTTGAGTACTCCGTGTCTGTTGTTTCTGATCTCCAGCTAGAGTTCTTAAGCCTAAGAGCTATATTCAGCTAAGTATTACTCAGATTAGGACTGTGAAAATTAGTGAACCTAAGTTAGTCATGTATATCAACTTCAATAGGTCGACTCTGAGCAGAACCAGCAGTGAATGCCACTATATTACTGCCACCACCGTTTCCCAGCACCTTCTCCTTATGATGTGGAACACTCTTCGTTCCAAGGCTAGAGGACACAAAGAGTTTTCCAAACATGGGGTAAGGCAACCTCATAGGTAAATTTAGTCACACTGTTTTAGTCCCACACCTTCTAGAATGGCATAGGCACAATCTCATCAAAAGTAGGCATTTTAGTCCAATTCATTTCACAGGCAGAGAGTGCAGACATGCTCACCTGAAAGTGAAATTAATGGGATGTAACATTGGCTGGATCTTGTCTATTTTTAAAAAACACACACCAAACAATGCATTCCAATCAGCAGAAGAGAGGCACATTAATGAGAATACTTTCATTTTGCTCTCTGTCAGATAGGCTTTGCTGTTGTCATGAACCTTGCATTCGGAATGGTAATCATGTTTTACCTGTAATTCAGCTCCTTGGAGCATTGATGAGGTCTAAGTCCATCACTCTCCTAACAAGGAGAAATAGGTACATTTAAGGATTGCCCCTCCTCCTGCAAAGTATTTTAATCATATGCTTCAGCAGTCATAATTACTTTTGTGACCTTCTTAATTTAACAGATTTGACTTCCTCTAGTTGTAATTTTGCAGGAATAATTGGATAACTAGGCATTGCATGTACCTAAACAAATTAGTTTTTTTTTTAATAAAAAAGCATGATTATTCACAGTTCATTAGACAAAAGCTGCATTTCATTATTTATTGCAATCACTGCTGTAGAATGTCATTCAAAATTAATATTGTGATCAGTTTTGTTGAGGTGATCAGAATGGTTGAGAGCTATACACGTTCTTTTAAAAAAATTCAAACGCACATGAGGTGTCTCTTTGTTCAAAACTTAATTACACCATAATAATATCCTCATCCTTGTAATCACCATAATCAATGGCTGAATACAGATAAACCTTTGTTAACGGGTAATCTACCACAGTGAGCACAACTGGTTATCTGCATTGTCCCAAGAAGTGGTGAGGCACATCTTGCCATGCTCCTCCTTCCCTTGGTTTGTGGTTCAGGGTGGAAATGTGAAATCTGTTCAGCTGCTAAAGAGGAGTAGGGCAGGCAGAACGGCCTCAAGCAGCAGAAAGAAGATGGGAAAAGATGGGACTGGGAATATAGGAAATAAGAGTGGCAATGATCCACACACACACACACACACACACACAAAATATAGGGGTTGTGCGACTTTGTTTATTTCAACATAATTGCACATGAATATTAATGTATGCAGAATTTTTATTGGTGACCTCTTCAAGTTAATAAAAGCTGACAGTTTAATAGGATAAACAAATGTTTTATTTGTACATTGTGGAATATTTTACCAGCGACTGGATGTGTGCTTCTTAAGTGATTGTGCGGTACATATGGTAGGTAGGATGCATGTTTGCTAGATGACCTATTACTCTGTTGATTCATTGGCTGTGTCTGATAATTGAAAGGTCAGGCCTATCCATTAAACTTATCAACATGGCACAAGATATTTTAAATCAAAAACGTTTCTGCTTGAGCTTCATTAATTCTATGGCATTAATGTTAGAGCAACAGCGAGAAAAGTTAATTCCCCCAAGTTGAGAAATTAGAGGCAGTGACTCTTCAAAACATACAGAAGAGATACAAGAAGGTCTAAAAATAAAATAGATTTCTAAGCTTCTATTCTCTTCCAGTAATAATATTTCTTGCATATATTAAAACTATTTCCTCTTTTTTGCTTGCAATCTCTCTAGATGGAGAGCGTCCTGTATGCAACTATATGTTCATCTAAAAGGATTTCTGAAACAAACACACAGAGCTCTTGTTAAATACACACACACACACACACACACACACTGACGGGTTCCAAGGAACTCAAATTATGGCCTTTGTCAGCAGGAGTCAGTGGCCTTATGCTCTTTCTTACTGGCAGAATGCCAGGAGAAGGAACCACTTGCCTGGTCTCTGCTGTTCTGCAGCATGACCACTGCAGATGGCCAGAGTGAGGTACTGCAGCTGCCAGCTCAGTTGGGATCAGGCTGAATTAAAGGAGCAACAGTAATTTTGCCAGTATAATCCGGTTTTAATACTACTGGTGCTTTCCATCACATCCACTCATTGAATGAGGTAAAGGGTAAAGGGACCCCTGACCATTAGGTCCAGCCGTGGCCGACTCTGAGGTTGTGACACTAATCTCGCTTTATTGGCCGAGGGAGCCGGCGAACCAGGTCATGTGGTTCCGGACCAGCTTCCGGGTCACGTGGCCAGCATGACTAAGCCGCTTCTGGCAAACCAGAGCAGCGCACGGAAACGCCATTGACCTTCCCGCTGGAGCGGTACCTATTTATCTACTTGCACTTTGATGTGCTTTCTAACTGCTAGGTTGGCAGGAGCAGGGACCGAGCAATGGGAGCTCACCCCATCACGGGGATTTGAACCGCTGACCTTTTGATCAGCAAGCCCAAGGCTCTGTGGTTTAGACCACAGCGCTACCCGTGCTCCCATTGAAGGAGGTACCAGATGGAATTGCTCTTGGATTCCATTTTGGCCCACATTTAAATCCATTCTATCCCTATAACTCCTATTTATAAAATTAAAAGTTGGGAGTTACAGTCATAGAATGTTCACAATATATATCTTTGCTTTTCAAAAAAACAGTTTTAAAAACCTGCTTTAAAACTGTTCGTTTGTTGTTGGTTTTTTTAAAAAATCAGTTGCATAGTTTTAATAACAAAACTAACACACACAGCTAGAAATAGGTTTTTAAAAAATACAGAATAAATGCCATGACAGAGACTTGGGACATTGCAGTCGATGACCGACCCTTTGGGTCCCTTCCATCTCTACAGTTCTCTGACTATGATTCTACGTCCTTTTCATCCTGCTGGAAAAAACTGGTTGAGTCAGAAATGTCTTCAATTGTTGGACTCATTTGCTCCAAAGACTTGGAACTGCTTTTTTCAGAACATCATGAACAGCATCCCTCCACTTAGCATCTCTAACAGAAATTGAACAGATTGTGTGTGTGTGAGAGAGAGAGAGAGAGAAAGAGAATTCAAAGGTTTGAAAGTTCCTTCACTTCATAGCGCAGGGGTCAGCAACCTAAGGCCCATGGGACACAAGCGGCCCATGGGGGGTCGTTTAACCGGCCCATGAGCCACCCCTGAACTGAGCCGCCCACTCATCGAGTCCACGCGCGCTGCGCTAAACTGGCACAGCGCGGTGCGGGGAATCGCTTCCATGGCGCCGGAAATCGGTCGTGCGCATGCACAGACACCAAAGATCGCATCTGCAGACGCTGGAAATTGTGGGCGTGCATGCGATCTGGCCCATAGAGGGATCTCCGCTGGAGTGAACCAGCCCAGGCGAGGTAAACCTTGCTAACCCCTGTCATAGCGGTTCCTTCCCTCAGGCTTACAACATCAGCTCCCTTTCAGCCCTGTGAGGCACTTTCTCCACTCATTCTACAACTTTATTTTTCATTCTAAGTTCTGTGTTCTTCCTTGCCAGTCAAGTG